TATGTACTCAAAGAAATCTAAGTCATTGTATCACAGAGATTCCTATACATCCATGTTTCTAATAGCCAAGAGATGGAACCAGTGCAGATGCCCATCAACAAATGAGTGAGTGGATAGGGGAAATATTTTACATTACATAGTGGAACTTTATTCAACCGTGAAGAATGAAGTGACATCATTTGCAGGAAAATCAATAGAACTGGAGACCATCGTGTTAAGTGAAATAAAGGCAGATTCTCATATCCAGAATCTAGATTTAATTTTTTATTTTTACACTTTTTGTTTGTATGTGTATGTATATTTGTGGGTGCGTATATGTGGGAGGTCAGAGAACAACTTGTGGAAGTTGGTTTTCTCCTTCTACCGTGTAGGTTCTGAGGATCAAACTCAGGTTGTCAGGCTTGGCGGCAGGCACCTTTACCCGCTGAATCTTCTCACCAACCCCTCGGTTGACATTATTTAAAAGAGGGTATGCAAACCATGCGTGGTGGTGCTCTTCTGCAATCCCAGTACTTGGGAGGTAGAAGCAGGAGGATCAGGAGTTCAAGATCTCTTTTCCATACTTAAAGACCCTGTCTCAAAAAAAAATGGGTTTACAAATACTGACTCAGGTATGATAACACAGATCTGTCTATAACTCCAGTTCAAGGGGATCCAACAGCCTCTTCTGTCCTCCAAGGGCATTGTACAACATGGGTACACTTACTTACATGCAGGAATAACACTCATACACATAAAATAAAAATAACAATAAATAAAATATTTTTTAAAACCAGAAATAAGGGACTGGAGAGATCATTCAACTGTTAAGGGTTCAATTCCCAGTACCCACATGGCAGCTAACAACTGTCCTAACTCCAGTTCCAGGGCATCCAGTGCTGACCTCTGCAGGCATTGCAGAGCACAGGTGCACTTACATACATGCAAGCAATATATTCATACACATAAAATAAAATTAAAAATTAAAAAAAAAAACAAACAGAAATAAGACCAGTTGCATCTGATCTCCACATAGGCACTGTGATATGCCTCTTCTGCACCTCCAATAAATGATGTAAAAAATTAAAACAAAACCAAAAAACTAGAAATAGAACCACCATATACATGTCCCAGAAATCCTACCACTGGGTGTTTATCCATGGGGATTGCAATCACTGTCATCAAAAGATGCCTGCTCTACCGTGCTTATTGCAGCACTGTCTACCACAGGTGAAATAGGAAATCAACCTGTGTCATTGATGGTTGAGCAGATAAGGAAAATACGGGCCATCTATACAATGGAATATCAGTCAGCCATCAAAAAGAACAAAATCTTGCCATTTGCAGCAATTTGGATGGAACTAGAGGACATTGGAGCTGAAATAAGTCCTGACAGTTCATGTTCTTCACCTACGTGTACAAGATAAAAAGAGTAGACTAGTGGTTTCCAGAGCTTGGGAAGGTGAGGAGGTAGAAGGAGGATGGTTCATGGCTACAGGACCAGTTGGACAGGAGGAAGAGTTTCTACTATCTGTAGCACAGTAGAATTATGTATGATGACAATTATTATATACATCAAAGTATCTAGTAGAGGAGATTTTGAATGTTCCAACACAAAGAAATGACATCAGAGGTGCTGGATTACGTCAGTTACACTGATATGATCATTATATATCTTCCACATGTATTGAATACACTCTACCCCCCAAAATGTTTTATATAT